GTAAGAGGTGGACCTAAGAGTACAGTGGACATCGTCATCCTCTTCCTCATTCTCATACACTACCTTCCTAAGCCAGGTAAAACAGGCCTGTGGCCAAAGGAAGTCATGGGTCTTGATCCATTCACATGGATCAGAAGTAAGCACATCTGATTACCTCTACCTCTGCTCTTTTGGGTCCCACCTTCAGCCAGTATTACAGAACTAATTGAAAGGTTACAAGGCATCTACCATTAACAGCGGAGGGTGAAAGGGAAGAGAAAATTAAGGAAGCATCTTGACATCAGAGAGAGAACTAAGAAACAACAATGGGGGAAGGACTGATGATGCGTCAAGTTTACCTGTACCTAAGGAGCAGGACAGGAGGGAGATCGTGGAAGGGAGACTAAGAGCTTTCCCAGAAGGTATAATCACAGTGGTGAGAAACCATGCATGTTAGCAGGAAGAGGGAACAGCATCATAGCAGAAAGAAGAGACCCACCTTATTTCAGTTCCAGAGCTCAGAAAAGCATGAGGTGGGGCAAGGGGGAGTGGCAGTGGCAGTGACCGAGGGGGGAGAACAATGTGATAACAGAAGAGGCCGAAGAAAAGCATGGTGGGAAATTCTCATGTCAAGAAGAGGTAGGATTCAATAATAACTAGGGCTGGCAATGGAAAGGAAAAGGAGGGCAGAGGCTCCTAACAGGAGGGCTAGAGGGGTTGATAACAACAGGAGGTATTAACTGCAAAGAGGGTGGTGGGCATAACTCGTAAGCACCAAGCAGGACTACAGCAGATGTGCTAAGAGAATGAGGTCTCAACTGTCACTGGAAGGGAGCAGTAAAGGAATGGAATAACAGAGTTCCAGGAGGGCCTGGAAGAGGGAAGTGTTACTACGGGACATAATGGTAGAAGGGTGTGAGAGGAGGAGGAGGGTGTAAAGACGGCAAATACAGCCCAGGTCCAGGAGAGGAAACCAAAGGGGAGCTGCCCTGGCCTGCCAGGGAGGGGAGCAGCTGGCAGAGTGTGAGGAAGGGTGAGGACTCCAGAGGTGAGCTCAGATCAGGAGGAGATACCATGGTGGGGACTTGGGCGAATGGGCTGGAGCATTTGAGCAGGGACTAATTTGAAGTGGGGGTAGGTCTGCTAAAGTCCCTGTGCCTGGACTCAACAGGGCAGCAGACGCCCTCCTAAAAGCAGTGGCAGCCAGCAGTGTCGCTGAGAAGGCTGTGGAGGCAGCACGAATGGCCAAACTGATAGCCCAGGACCTGCAACCCATGCTAGAGGCCCCAGGTGAGGCGTGGGCAGCCTAGGGGAGGGGGTGGCCCGCTAGGGAGCTAGAGAATCTCAGGTGTGGGGAAGGGGGATGGGAAGCCCTGAAAGGGAACTGGGGATGAGAAAAGCCAAGGTACAAGGGGCCAAGGGGATGGTTGTCTGGGGAGCTGGACTGGGAATTTATGAAGTAGGGTAATGGAGGGTTTGGGGTCTGGCAGCAAGAAGCTATGAGCCTAAGGATACCAAAATCCTGGGAAGTCCCCAGTCAGGGGAATAATGCTGCAGCCACTCCAGCCCGAGGCCAGTTAGACCCCTCTGATTCTTAGCTATCCCTGCCTAGGCCGCAGACCCAGGCAAGACTCAGAAGGTTCCGACACAGAGCCCTTGGATGAGGACAGCCCTGGGGTGTATGAGAATGGACTGACCCCTTCAGAGGGATCCCCCGAACTGCCCAGCAGTCCTGCCTCCTCCCGCCAACCCTGGCGACCACCTGCCTGCCGGAGCCCACTGCCTCCTGGAGGGGACCGGGGTCCCTTCTCCAGCCCCAAAGCTTGGCCTGAGGAGTGGGGGGGGCCGGATGAGCAGGCAGAGGAACTAGCTGGCTATGAGGCTGAGGATGAGGCTGGGATGCAGGGGCCAGGGCCCAGAGACGGTTCCCCACTCCTTGGAGCTTGCAGCGACAGTTCAGGAAGTCTTCGAGAGGAGGAAGGGGAAGATGAAGAACCCTTGCCCCAGCTGAGGGCCTCAGGAGGCTCAGAGCTTGAGCCAGTCACCATGCTGGTCCTGAAGGGCCCGTCTTCAAGGGGTCCTGATGCTGGGTGCCTGACAGAAGAGCTCGAGGATCCTGCTGCAACCGAGAGGCCTGCCCAGCCGGTGAGACATCTCTGCCCCAACCGTGTGCCCTCTTCTCCTCAAAGCCTTGCCTCCCACCCTTCCGGACCTCTGTCTGATCCCCTGAGGGGCTTTGATTTTGACTCAGCTTCCTCTGCCTGGCCAGTCTTGGACCATATCCCACCTGAAAAAAATAGAAAGCTTTCAAGCTGGAAAGAATCTTAGACACCTTTAAGTCCAACTCCTTCATTTGACAGATGGGGGAACTGAGGCCTAGAGCACTTAAAGTAACTTGCCCAAGGTTACAAACTAATAATTAATGGTAGAGCCAGAACATTTTTCCCTGTTCTCCTTCCATATCATTTCCAGCTCCCAGTTTCCTACTCCACCCCCATCCCACCTCCACACTTTCTGTCTTTGGTGCCCAGAAATAAAAAAGGAAAAGATTGTTCCCTCCCTACCCTCACTCTCCCTCCCTCTCCTGGGAAGAAGGGAAATAGGGAAGAAGGCAGAAAACTGGGAGAGGCGGAGTTTCCCCAGAACCCTCTACTCTGATTGGACTCTAGGCCTTCTCCTGTTTCCTAGCAACCAGATCCTCACCCCTTCATCCCTCTGCCTTACTGCAGTACTGGCTGCTGCTGCCAATGTCTGCTACTAAGGCCAGGCACCTCCTGCCTGGGCCACATGATATGCTGGTGGGAGGGAAGCAGAGGGAGAAGGGAGGAAGGGCTGTCCCTGCCTTTGGGATGCCAGAGGAAAGGTGGGGCCCTGCCAGGGAGAAGAAGGGTGTTTTGCAATTGAAAACAAAGGTTGGAGATCCACCCACCCCCCAACTCCTCTGGCATCTGCAGGGAGGTGCCTGGGACCCTCTTCAGCTTTGCCACCTCAGCCAGGGCAGGAAGGTGGGACCTGGTCTGGGGGACTAAGCCTGCCTCCCCCTCTGTCTCTCTAGGGAGCTGCCAACCCCCTGGTGGTGGGAGCCGTGGCCCTCCTGGACCTCAGCCTGGCGTTCCTGTTCTCCCAGCTCCTCACCTGAGGCTACTTCCTGGCCTAGTTCTGGCTTTGGTTGCCTGCCTTTTCACCCCTTTGCCCTGCCTTTTTCTCTTTTTCTCTTCCTGGTTGTGTTTTTCTCCTTTCTTTCTCTTCTCTCTTTCCTTTCTTTTCTGCCCCCTTTATTTTTGTCTCTTGCTTTTTCTTTCCCTCTCTTCTTTCAGATTATCTCATTTGTTCTGAATCTGTCTCTGTCTTCCTCACTCCTTTCCCTACCCCAACCCCTTCTTTCTCTAGATTGTTTACATATGAAGGGCTTTTCTCTCTCAGAGTTGCTCTCTTCTCTGAGACACACAAATCTAAGACAGACCATTGCCCCATGCCCACCCCACCTTTTCTTTAGACCTAAACTTCACTGAGGGTGGGGGTTTGGTGTCCTGAGGAGACTCCTGTAAGCTGAATGGAGAGGAGGAAGAAAATGAAGGAGTACCTGAGTGCTGGGCAAGGCACTGGCTGAGCTGCTGTGTCTCCCTGGCCTGAGGGACCTGGTGTCCCTCTGAGGCCTAGTGAAAAAGCTGCAGAAGGTGCAGCCTCCACCTCTTCGCTTGGAGGATATTATCTCACCTCCAGGCAGGTTCTGAGCTAAGGTTCTGGCCTAACTGTTCTTTCCCTGAGGCAGATAGGGGAAGTGAAAAGTAGAGTAACTCCCTAGCATTTCTCTCTTTCTTTCCTCATCAGCAAGCCCCTCCTCCTCCAGCCCTCTTTGGTGGCATGCCATGCCAAGAGCAGTGTGTAAAGGAACAAAAAATATCCAGTGCAGTCAAGTCCTTCCCAGACTTTGCCACTGACCTCTCTCACCCTTCTGTCTCCCCCTAATAGTTTATTTGGTTGGTCTGGACTCACTTGTGGCCTTTGATTAAATTCCTAAGGGGCCTGAAGAAGACATTGCTACTTAGAGGCACTTGAGTAAGAATCCCACCCCACACCCCAACTCTGGCAGTCGTGGTGGGGGAGGCACTTCTTGGGGATGGAACCAGACAAGATAACAGGAGCTCATAAGGAAGCAGAAGCTGTGACAAGTTTAGTAGTCTCAAAATGGGTTATATCCCTTCCCCCATCACATCAGAATCTTGTGTAATGGGAAAACAACAGGAGGGGTTCAAAAGAAGCTGGTCTCTCACAGGCTGTCCAGGCAGGGCAGGGGTGGGAGTCAGACCTGGGTGAGAGGTGGGTGGAAGGCCCTGTTTGAGGCTGTGGCTGATCCCTGGTACTAGCTTTTCCCCTGGGGGCAGGAAGCCCTAGGAAGAGGGGACTGTAGGGTTCCCAGGGGATCTTTCCTCCCTCTCCTGCATGAGGCAGAGGCAAGCTGCCTGCCAACCCCCTCCCTCAAGGAATGGCCTTGCCTGGGAATGCCCACCACATACCTTCTTCTTTTTTTCTAGTCAAACTGTTTACTCCTTGGCCTGCCTCCCTCCTTCCTCCCCTCTCAACCTTTACTTCTGATTTCTATTTCATGGAATTTGGGATTGAAGTTAAACTACAACAGTGCCGCCAACACCGAGTCTTGCAGGAAAAAAAATACAAAGAAATTTAACAAAAAAAATATATTAATAAAAAAGTTCAAAAAAGGGGGGGGATTGTCATCTCCTTTGGGGTGCGATGGCTTCAAACCCAAGCTCTCTGGGTACTGAGGATGTGCAAGGAGGCCTTTTGGGGGACCCTGGGCGTATCACACAGTCGTGCAGCCCAGTGCAGTAACAGCTCCTTCCCCTCAACATTAAAGCTTGAGGTCAGGATTCAAGAAGGCTCAGCAGGTCGGCCCAGGAAGGGCGGGGTCCTGTGGTGGAGGCGGGGAGAGGGAAGGACCAGACGGAGCACCAACCGCTGCTCCGCCCTGTACCAGGAAGCGCTGGGGGGAAAGGAGCAGAGTTGACATAAGCCAGGTGAGGCTGGCGTACTGGGGTGGGGAGGCCGAAGCTGTGTGACATGGTGGGGTCGGGGGGCAATGGGGAGGAATCTCACGGAAGAAATAGCGCTGCGCCGTAGAAGGTAAAGGAATGGCTGAGCTAGGGATGGGACACCAGGTCGAGGGAAGAAGGTGGAAAAGAGGTGGAGCTCTGGCGCATGCTCAATAGGAAGAGACGCAGGGTGGAGCCGGGACGCATGCGTAGTGGGGATCTCCTTGGGAGGTGAGAAGGGGGCGGAATTGGAGACCCACGTGGGGGAAAGGTAAATATGGGCTCGCTTTTAGGGTAGCTGTGGGCCCTGGGCTCTTAGGGTCTTGGCACAGGACAAACCCAGGTAGAAAGGTTAGGCATACCCGGCGAGAGAGTGTTAAAGCCCTCTCCACTCCCGGGCTCTGCCCCCCAGGATGGTGGCGCCTTCGCTAAAGCTTCAGGATCTAATCGAAGAGATTCGCGCCGCCAAGACTCAGGCTCAGGAGCGGGAGGTGATCCAGAAGGAGTGTGCCCACATCCGGGCCTCCTTCCGTGATGGGGACCCTCTACACAGACACCGCCAGCTGGCCAAACTGCTCTACGTCCACATGTTGGGCTACCCCGCCCACTTTGGACAGGTACTGGCCAGGGATACCTACTTCCTGAGTTTGATGAGAAAGGCTGGGGGGGGGGGATCACGGTCTCAGACACCCTCACGTTTGTGCCCTGATTTTTTTCATTCTACGGTTTGTGAGCCCTCAGCATGCACCGCAAAGCTCTTTCCCCATTAGTCATCGGCTGGCCTGAACCCTTCATTCTCTGGCCAGTCCCATGCAGGGCACCTCCTCCTCCTCCCCCATCTTCTTCAACTCCTAGTTCCTTGAAACTACCTACGAATGCCTGAATCTCCCAAGCCTCTCCTCTTGTTGAAGGGAGGGTGATGAGATATGATGTTTTTAAAGAGGAAGATGGAACAGGGATGTTAGTGTCTCCAGTTTCACCCTGCCCCTTCCTGGTCTGCTCCCTTCCCTGTAGATGGAGTGCCTGAAACTGATCGCCTCCCCCAGATTCACAGACAAGAGGGTGGGCTACCTGGGGGCCATGCTTCTATTGGATGAGAGGCAGGATGCCCACCTGCTCATTACCAACAGCATCAAGAAGTGAGAGGGTTCTGGCAATAACATGGAATCAGGGAGATGGGAGAGTGGGGAAATCCCAGGGGACTGCCTGTTGTAGGTACTGGGAAGAACTAGTTTTCTCAGAGGCTCAACTAACTGTCCTCCCAACCCTGCAGTGACCTGAGCCAGGGGATTCAGCCAGTACAAGGCCTGGCCCTGTGTACTCTGAGCACCATGGGCTCTGCTGAGATGTGCCAGGACCTGGCCACGGAGGTGGAAAAACTGCTCCTGCAGCCCAGCCCCTACGTGCGCAAGAAGGTGAGATGGCAGGACTCTAGGCACTTGCTTCGCCAGAAACTGTCCCCTATCTGCTATGCAGTACAGGTTAGGGGAGCCCATCCCGGCGGATGCCTGTCTGAGGCCCCTAACCTCGGCAGGCTATTCTGACTGCAGTGCACATAATCCGGAAGGTTCCTGAGCTCTCCAACATCTTCCTCCCATCCTGTGCCCAGCTGCTTCATGAGCGCCACCACGGTAAGGAAGGCCATGGGGCTCCCCGTCCTCTTCTTCAGCTCTGGCTATGTCCAGAGGTAAAAACTGGGGACGGGAACACCAGCTCATAGGAGAAGAATAGCATACACACACAAACACACATGCAGTAGACTCTCCCTTGCCCCTGGCCCACAATTCACTTCACCCCCTGACCCCAGGCGTCCTGCTGGGCACCATCACGTTGATCACGGAGCTCTGCGAACGAAGCCCTGCAGCCCTCAGGCACTTTCAAAAGGTGGGCTGGTGAAGGGCAGGCCCCGGGCCTGGAAAAGAGGGGCAGTGGGGAAAGGATGGGACTTAATATGGACAGGATCAGGAAGAATGCCCAGACAAGATTGTGCCCTCCCTCCAGGTGGTACCCCAGCTGGTGCAGATCCTCCGGACTCTAGTGACAACGGGATACTCCACAGAACACAGCATATCTGGAGTCAGCGACCCCTTCCTGCAGGTGGGCCTAACTTTTGCTGCTGTATCCCTGGAACATTGAGGGCTTAGCAGCAAGACCATGGCCAGTGGTCACCTCCCAGAGAACACTTTGGCTCAGTGTCCTGGGCAGGAGGGTGGCAGGCACAGGATTGCCCAGGCCATCGCAGGACCAGTAGGGGGAGAGGAAATGTCTCTAGGCCAGAGAATACAGTTTGGTAACAATTTTTAAAAAGCCTGCCCTAAAATCCCCCAGCCTCACATACCTCTGATCCCCTCCCAGGGCCCAGGGGACCTGTGGAGGTGAGAGGGAGAGGTGGGGAGGCTCTAGGGATCTAGTCAGACCCCTCACAATGCTCTCCTCATGTTGGATTTTTCTCCTCAGCCCCACGACTCCTTACCCAATGAACCCCTCCACCTTTCAACCTTTCACCCAACCTCAGGTCCAGATACTTCGTCTCCTTCGGATTTTGGGCCGGAACCACGAGGAGAGCAGTGAGGCCATGAATGACTTGCTGGCCCAGGTGGGGGGCTGGGGAGTGGGCACAGGATAGGTGTGTTGCTCTGTGACCTCACCACCCTGGGCATCCCTCACTCATTGCACAGTAGCCATATAATCGCCTCTGTCCCCCACAGACAGTGAACTCCATGAAGGAGGGACACGGTCTGTCTTAGTGCTATCACCCCAGTGCCCAGGCTGGCCCTGGCACTTAGTAGGGGTTCAGGGAACACTGTTGGATGGTTGAGGGATGGACACATTGACATAGTGGAGACCTTCAAGAGACCTAAGGAGAAGACAGAGCCCTGTGCAGATGCATCTCCTCTCCCATCCACTCAGGTGGCCACTAACACAGACACCAGCCGAAACGCGGGCAACGCAGTCCTGTTTGAGACAGTGCTCACTATCATGGACATCCACTCTGCAGCTGGCCTACGGGTATCGTCCCCTATGCCTCTCCCGCTGTGGCCCCACCCACCGCCCCCACCCAGGCAGACAGGTCCTGCTCACGGGTTTCCTTCCCCTACCCCCCCCATCCTGCACCATGTGGTTCCACTTCTGAATGAGCAGGTCACTCCTTCCCTGACTGTCCCCAACCTCTGCCTCTCATAGGTTCTAGCTGTCAACATTCTTGGCCGCTTCCTGCTCAACAGTGACAAAAACATTAGGTAATAGTCCCAGGTGTCTGGCTAGGTTGTGCCACTGAGCCCCAGAGCCTCCTGCATACCTGCCTCTTACACTTATACCCAGAACAGGAGAGGGATAGGGGCTCATGGCCATGGTGTGATAGGGCCTCTCCCACCCTGATCAGGTACGTAGCCCTGATGTCATTGCTGCGGCTGGTGCAGTCTGATCACAGTGCTGTGCAGCGGCATCGGCCTACCGTGGTGGATTGTCTACAGGAAACTGATGCCTCCCTTAGCCGGTAAGCAGAGATGGAGGGGACCAGAGGGCAGGGCAGAAGGCCCAGTGCGTGGTGGCCAAGACTGAGCCAGCTCAGAGCAGCTGGAGTAAGGGGACTAAAGGGACAGGTGCCTGGGGAAGGGGAGGGCCTGAGGCATGGATCAGGGTAACCAGAGCTACCCGTGTAGATATCTGTCTTTCTCCTGCCAGGAGGGCCCTGGAACTAAGCCTGGCTCTGGTGAATAGCTCCAATGTGAGAGCCATGACACGGGAGCTGCAGGCGTTTCTGGAGTCCTGCCCCCCTGATCTACGGGCTGATTGTGCCTCAGGCATCCTGCTGGCTGCAGAGAGGTGAGGTGTCCAGGAGGCAGAACAGGTTCCACCTCCAGGGTGGAACCCAGGGAGGGTCAGTGCCAGGACTGATGAGCCATTATTCCCCTTAGGTTTGCTCCAACCAAGCGGTGGCACATGGATACCATCCTGCACGTCCTGACAACGGTGAGACAGGGGCTGTTCAGAGAGGTGGGCAGGAGCAGTCAGGGTTCACCACACAGACTTGCCACGTTCACCCCCTCCAGGCAGGCACCTATGTGCGGGATGATGCAGTGGCCAACCTGACCCAGCTGATTGCGGGGGCTCAGGAGCTACACGCCTACTCTGTGCGCCGCCTCTACAGTGCCCTGGCAGAGGACATCTCCCAGGTACCATTCCCACCTACCAAGGCCCGGGACCGCCCAGCCGCTCCCTAGACCGTCCTGGGCCACCTCTTCCCTAAACCACATTTCTAACTACTTTCCCCTCAGGGTTACAGCCATCTACTTAGTGCAGGAGACATTGAGGACAGAGTTCTGTTTTAAGTTAGAACACCTGGGCTTCTGTCCCAACTCTGGTACCTGCTGGCCCTGTAAGCACAGATAACTAATTTAACTTTCTTTACGTTCCACGTACTCAGCTTTCTACCCTGCCTACCTCCCAGAGCTGTCTTGAGGATTAAATGAGATAAAAGCTCTTTCTGTATATTAGGTTTTATTATTACCTTGAAGGCTGAGTATCTCCAGCCAGTATCTATAGCCCCCTTTTCCATCTTAATTAAGTGAGGTGGGCAGAAACCATCCACCCCTTCTTCGAGGAGGAGAACCCTCTCACAACTCCATCTTGTGTGGTTAGGCCATGTCGTTCTGACACTTGGCCACCAGAGGGCAGCAGGAGCCCAGGCACTTGTACAGAGCCAGGTAACAAAACTTCCCTTTCGCCGACCCCTCCAGTCCCCCTGGTCTCTACACTGCCTTAAAGAATGTCTCAGAGTCTGAAAGTGAGGAGGGGACCCCAGACACTGGCCCAGCAGTGTTTCTTATCCCACACAGCAACCGCTGGTACAGGTGGCAGCCTGGTGCATTGGGGAGTACGGGGACCTCCTGCTGGAGGGAAACTGTGAGGAAACTGAGCCCCTTCAGGTGAGATCTGCACTTCGGGTACACTGGGGAGGGGCTTGTCAGGGGAGGCAGGACTGGCCCCAGGGTAACTACCTGTGTCCGTGCCTGAAGGTGGAAGAAGAGGAGGTGTTAGCACTGCTGGAAAAGGTTCTGCAGTCCCACATGTCCCTGCCAGCCACCCGAGGATATGCCCTCACAGCCCTCATGAAGCTGAGTACCCGGCTCCGTGGCGACAACAAGTATGTAGGAGTCCCGGCCCCTTCAGAGACATTCTTTTGCTGTGCCCACCAGTTTGGGCATCTCTTTAGGAACCCATAACCCTAACCAACCCCCTACACAACTCCTCAGTCCTTAGCTTCTTGCTCTTGAGCCAAATCTCAGGTATCTCCCTGCTTGTGTGGGGCCTCTCCCTTCTCTGCCTCATCCTGGAGTGGAAGGGCAGCCAAACTGCCACTGCCACTCACACCCTGCACTGTGGGCCAGGCGTATCCGCCAGGTGGTGTCCATCTACGGGAGCTGCCTGGACGTGGAGCTGCAGCAGCGGGCTGTGGAGTATAACGCACTCTTCCGGAAGTACGACCACATCAGGTGCGTCCAGCACTCTGCTGCAGTGTAGGACCCAAACCCCTGCCCTCTTAAATGCCCTTTTCTAGATACAAGCGTCTCATCCTCACCTGTGTCCCTCATCCATGGTGAGAGCCTCCCACCCACTGTTCATTGAAGTGAAGCTGGCCTCTAACCCTCCTTGCTCATCTGAAAACCAGCAACATGCCATCTTAGGAAACCAGAAGGGCACTTCTGACCCACCATGTGCCCAGCTCTCCATACTCTTAGCCCTCATGCCCGATGCCTCTTGTGAAAGACCCGGGGACCAAACAGAGGGACACACTTGTATTCCATCCTCTCAGGGCTGCCATCCTTGAAAAAATGCCTCTTGTGGAACGAGGTGGCCCTCAGGTTGGTGAGGAAGCAAAGGAAAGCAAAGCAGCAGCCAAGCTTTCAGAAGCAGCCCCTGTGCCCACAGAGCCCCAGGTGAGGAGGATGGAAGCCCTAGGAGAGAGGACTTGCCTGGGCTTCCATACCCAGCCCTGACCCTTCTACCCTTTCTCCCAGGCCTCAAAGCTCTTGGATCTGCTAGATCTCTTGGATGGCCCTTCTGAGGATGCCCAGCATCCTTCCCCTCTGGATCCCTCCCCAGGAGGTGCCTTAGTACAACTCCTTGACCTTCCCTGTGCACCTCCACGCCCTGGTAAGCCTCAGCAAAGGGGAGATGTCTTAAGAGAAGGTGGGTGGAAATGTGACGCTGCTTTTTCTGAGCCAAGGACTGAGGGTCATACACCCTTTTCCCTCCTGTGTGCTCATCCCACTTCGATCTCAGTAGGTGAAAGTGTTAATTCGATAACGCCAGTCCCCTCCTGGCCACCCTTCAATGTCTTCCTTCTGTTGCAGACTTTCTCCCCCGCCCTTCTCATGCTACTTCCCCACTACCCACTGCACTGGCCCCTCAGCTCCTCACACCCTCCCACCCTTGACATTTCATGTTCTTTTTTACGTCAAATGTTCTTCCCCCGGCACACTGAATGACCAGCTCATTCTCCCTCTTCAGGCTTCAGCTAAAATGTCAGATGCCTTCCCCTACCACTCCTATTTAAGTTAGCTCTTCCCAGTTATTCTGGCATAATGTATTTCCTTCATGGCACCTATTACAGCCTGTGAATATCTTGCTTGTTTTCTTTTTTATTGTTTCTCTCCTTCCACTAGACTATAAGCTCCAACCTCATCTTCTTGTCCACCAAATCCCTAGTATCTTGAGCAGTGCAGGGCCAGTAGGTGCTCACTCTATTTTTGTTGAATGAATGAATGAACATGTTATCTTGAGCCTGCACACTGAGCTGCCTCTCTCTCCCTACTTTAGCTCCCATCCCAAATCTCAAAGTGTTTGAGCGTGAGGGAGTACAGCTGAATCTGTCTTTCATTCGACCTCCTGGAACCCCTGCTTTGCTCTTAATCACAGTTACCGTCACCAACTCTTCGGGGGGTGATGTCACCCACTTCATCTGCCAGGCTGCTGTGCCCAAGGTTTGTAGAGATCAGGGTTTAGAAGTGGCCTGGGCACTCCAGGAGAAAAGGCCACTAAGTAGAAGAGGTGGGTGGGAGAGAATGAGATGGAAGGGAATGAGACAAGCACTTGGGGAGTTATGGGAAGAGGGTCTGGAACCATTGGGTGCGGAGGGGTTGTCTGAACCCAGCCAGCTGCCCAAACTTCTGTGTTCAGAGTTTCCAGCTGCAGCTACAGGCTCCCAGTGGGAACACAGTTCCAGCTCGGGGTGGCCTTCCCATCACCCAGCTCTTCAGAATCCTCAATCCTAACAAGGTAAGCTTCAGGAGCACACCGCCCCCCAGAATAAGACCCAGGGACAGGAGAAGCCATGAGTGCTAATCCTGGTCTCTACTCTCCTGTTCCTAGGCCCCCTTGCGGCTAAAGCTGCGCCTCACCTACAACCACTTTGGCCAGCCCGTGCAGGAGATCTTTGAGGTGAACAACGTGCCTGTGGAAACATGGCAGTAACTGCCTCCATTCACAGCCTAAAATCCTCGTGTATTCCAAACCCCAAGGGATCCTAGCCACTTGGAATGTATACCTGAGGGCTACCAGCAGGTGGCGCTCTGGCCCTGCATTTACCACTGCAAAACTGTGGGAGCCTGCCCCCCTCTCCCACAAATAATGAAAGCCCAATAAAGCCTGAGGGGTGATGAAAGCCATATTTGGGTATATTTGAAGTAGAAAACGTGTGAATAACAGCCGGGGAAGAGCCCCTTACATAGGAAGTATGATTCTTCCCCTGAGCCTTGAGAACCTGTCTCAACAAGGGTTTTCTTTCTACCACTCCATGTTGGGGAGCAAATTTGCCCTTAAACGTCCACAGAAGACACTCTACCCTCTGCACCAGAACTGGGCACAGTGGCAAAATCTAATGAGAATTTCTTGATTTCTAACAGGGATTCCCAACCATTTCCCCAACTTGCTGCTATTCCCCACACCCCAAGGCAGGGAAATCCCTGCTACCTCCCCTCATCTCTAACTCAGCTGTAAGGCGGTTTAGGAGCCGCTGGCAGAATCAATGGCATCGACCAAGGGAGGAGGGGTGGCAAGGGATTTTCCTGTGCTTAACTACTGATCACGGCTAAGTGGAAATCCTATAAACACGAGCGGAAATCAATGGAGGCTGCTTAGCGGCCAGGGGAGAGGGGCGGCCCACAGATTGCATCTGACGGATGAGGGAGAGGAAGCAGCCAGGGAGGGCTCAAGGATGGGTAGCTTAGAGTAGGGTGAAGGAATAGGCAGAGCTGGAGAGAGAGGAGTCACTGTGAGAAGGGAAGCCAAGGGAAGAGGCACAGTGAGCCCAGGAGTAGATCCTGTTAGACCCAGAGTTCTCCTCCCCTTCTAGGAAGTGACACCCTTAGCCCAGGCTGCTGTCAGGATGTTTAGTCCCCTGTGGTCTCTCTCTGGCTAGAGTTGTTCACTTCTAGCAGGCGCTGATAGACTTGAGGCCGAAAGCGTTGTAGGTACACGATCAGCTTGGCAGGTGCTGTCTCCTGTGCTGGCACACCTACAGGCAAAAAGACAATGAGGAGAGAAGCAGATAGAGCCACTAACGCTTTGACTCTGCTCGCTGCCCACTCAGCCGGGACCCCAAAGTTGTTTTCAAGGCAGCGCTGGATTCTGAATACCATCCACCCAGGTTCTATAACCCACCAAGCCACTCTCTTACTGGCATGCAGAAGAGGGACTGAAAAGAGCCACTTCAGGCAGGAGTGGATGAACTGTCTACAAGGGAACCATGCCTGGGAACAGAAAAACAAATTTGCCAAAGCTTACCCCACTGTCTCACATACATACAGTCTTCTTGTCTTTTACTAAAAATCAACAGGACAAATTAAAAGAGGATCTAGGTTGCTGTAAAAACAAACAGAGGTTTAGGAAGGAAGGGTCAAAGCAGAGGACTGACAAATGGAACTGAAGGAGACCTGGCTAGAGGTATGAGAACTAAATGAGACAGAATGACTAAGATAAAGACACATGGAAAGATTAAATCCAGATTAGGCAGCTACTATAAAAGAAAACCAGATTTGATAGAACTGGGTCCTCTAGAAAATTTCTAAAACAATTCCTGTTACAAAGAATCCAGAGACCCTCCCCCACTATATGGTCCAGTGGGTGCCTCCAGAAAAGGAAAGTGGGCAGCAGGGAAAGCACAAAAGGGCTTGTCTCCCTCACCAAGCATGTTGCTGAGCTTGTGGATCTTCTCTAGGGCAGCTGGTACTTCAGCCTCTTCGTGCACCAGGGCCTCTACCTCACCCACTGCGTAGCCAAAGTCGGCTGTATCCAGGTCCACCCTGAGCGGCCACTCCTCTTCATCAGTTCCCAAAAGAACCAGCCTCCAGGCACTCCGGTTAGTCACAAAACTAGCTACTTCCTGCAGCCTCATTGGGCCCAGCACAGCAGCCACACCCCCAGCCCCCAGGCCCTCAGTCTCCAGCACGGCACAGAGCTGGGCCACAATTGCAGGTTCAGCTGTGAGTTCCGTATACTGAGTGTGGGGTCCTAAGACACCTGCTGTTCCAGGACATTTGAGCTCCCATCCACTATCCTCTCGTTGTCGCAGCCAGTGGTCAGCCCGCATGAGGTTCAGCTCAGGGGTGTCATAGTAGGTGTCTCGGAAGGTGACCCGGTGCTCCAGGGTGCCCCCCAACTCCTGGAGCCGCTCCTCTGTGCCAGGCCCTGGAATGAACTTTAGCTCCACCTCAATCAAGCCCTGGGCCATGCTACCTGCAATTGGTTGGTCAACAAGCATTCGCTGAGCTCCCAAGGGTAAAAGGCCTGGTGCTCAGCCCTGCGGGCGTGGTTGAGGGGTGAGAGGGCCGCTCAGCACAGACCCTCCTCCCTGTAAGAACTTACGAGGCGCACACACACTGTCTCAGAATTCTGCTAAGGCTACAGCCTTTTCACTCTGCTTCGGTGATAAAATACCCCATCTGTGATGTTTTAAGGCTCAGACAGTGACAGGTCTCCAGTAAAATCCCGCCCACTGCTGAAAATGTCCTCAACCCAAAGGGCTCCCTAGAAAGCAGGCCGTGCATCGCGTGTCCTTCTTTCAACGCCCCCTCGCTACACCTTGCTACCCAAGAAGGCCAGTGGCTCACTGCCCGCGATGACCTGCCCTCTCCCGCCACGGCACCCGTCAGCACAGCCTCGGGTCTCACCTCAAAGCCCGAGGGTCTCCCTCTCGCGGGACCCGGAGATGGGGGAAGGGAGCCCACGCCACACCCGCGAGGAATGCCGGGAGTAGTTCCTGACCCCGGACCTCAGCCCGGCTCTCCGCGCGCCCAGCAGGTCCCAGAATCAGCGGCCATATTAGGCCCGTTGTGGTGGTGCCGAGCACAGGCCGGAGCCCGAGAGACCTGCTAGGTTATGGAGGGCCGCGACCCACGCGGTGGGCAGGGGAGCGAGGCCGTCTCCTAGCGCTCTGCTCTTCATCCCCGACCCCTCGAGGCTCCCAGGAGTTGGCCGGGTCCCAGGCCTCAGGCTGAGCCCGGCACCTTGGGGTACGGGTGCATGATGGGAGTTGTAGTTCCAGAGGAAGACAGCCTTCTCTCCTCACCCGTCGCTATGGTGACAGGAAAGCTGCAATTGGTGCCAGCGGGACTCTATCTCAAGCTGAACTCGGGCTGCAGGGCGGTGGGGAGAGTCGAGTGCGAGGAGCTCAGGCCAGTCCCATCTCCAAACCCTCTCCCAACGTAGGCCCGGAATACGAGCCACTCAGACACTGTCCAGCAGATATCTAATGGATTATTATGTCAGCCCACTAAGTGCAGGCCAGTGGCAATGGGCTGGGGGTGGCAGGGGCTGTAATTAAGTCCAGTTTAGCTACTCTGGAGTTTTATAGTTGATCTAATATATCTCGGTATGACTGTTCAGGGTAAGGGTGAGTGGGAAACTTTCTGTCAGAGGAGAAAATGATATTTTGGATGAGAAATAAAGATGCCATGGAATTTTAACAGTTGGAGACCCAGCTGGAGACAGGAACAGCATAAGCAAAGGCCCAGAAACTGGAGTGGCCAGTGCTTAAGTAGAAGATAAGGCTAAGAAATGCAATTGAGGGGCAGGATGGAAAAGGCCTTGAGTGCCAAACTGAGGAATTTGTCAAAGTTTCCAGCAATCCCTGAGCAGGTTTTGTCAGGAGTAGGAGAAATGCTCATCTTCATTTAAAATACAGGAAGACGTGAGGTTGGCCTTTTGACTGCTTTGGAAGACAATAGAGAAGGTTCCTTCCCTTTACTCCCTCTCAGGACTATGATTATCTGGAGACTTTAACTGTACATATGACTCTCTCGGTGAGGAAGCTTGCTGAAAAACAGAGGCTCTTGTTGATTCCTGGGCTCCTTCCTATGATGGGTGAGAAGTGCCAAGTTCTTGACACCTGCCCTCTCCCCAGTATGTTTCTGAAAACTGTGACCAGTGAGAAGTATGATGGGGAGGACACTGGTTTAAAGACATGGCATCTTGAACTTGGGATGTCCTGTGTGTACCCCTCCACTAAGTCAATACCAAGCACCACAGGTTAGGGAGGGAAGGATTCCCAGCCTCTAACTCCTCTCACTCACTGGCCTGTTTTTCATCCATCCTTTGCTTTTCAGTTGTCTTTTTTTTTTTTTTTCTTTTTTTGCTTTTCAGTTTTCTTGACCCAGGAAGAAGATGTAATATTTTCCCTGTGTTGTAAGGTCCAATCCAGTGGGGAAAGGGCTGAAGCTTAATGGAATGAAAAGACCAGACTCTGGAGCCAGATGGGCCTGAGGTTGATGCCTAGCTTCAATTTCTAGATGTTTGGCCTTGGGCAAGCTACTCCACTTCCTTAAGCCACTGCTTTTTCATTGGGAAAATGTAGACTGCCTCACCATTACCTGTGAGGATTCAGTAACAAACTGTCACATAGATACAATAGAGACTCAAGATGTTAGTTTCTTTCTCCCTTTTTTCTTGTGAACTTTAGGGTTTTGTTGTCCTTGTTGTTAAGAGAAGTAGGCTGTAGCAGCTAATGTGGGCTCTGGAGCCAGACCGTCAAGGTATGAATCCTGCCACTATCGCTTATTGGCTATTTGACCCTGGGCCATTTACTCGTTTGTGCCTTGGTTTCCTCAGCTGTAAAATGGCACTAATAATAGTATCTACCTCATAGGGTTGAGAGGAATAAATAAGTTAATATATGTGAAGGTGCTTGGAACAGCCCCTGTACACTCAGTAAATCTTAGGAATGATTGTTATTAGAATATAGGAGCACTTATAAGCCGATAAACGGAAGATAAGGAGGAGGAGGAGGCAGAACTTCCCCTCCCCCTACCCAACTCAGGGGACTGTATGACCGTGTGGAGGAGACAAGCTCTCAGAGACTTCAGAGTAATTGCTGTGGAAGAGAAGGTTCTAGTACCGAAACGGAAAGGAGGAGTAATAATAAGTCAGGAAGAAGGTAGTGAAAAAAGAGAGATGGGCCTCAAGTGGCTCTGGGAAGCTGGTAGAAGCCAGGGCTTGCTCTAGAGCTGATTTAAAACAAAACAACAACAAAACACATGTACGACTTCTGTAGGCAGGGTAAAGAGGAGGAGACGGGAAATAGTTTAAAGGGGACTGCCCTCTCTGCAGGTACCCGCTTGGACGTAGTGCCAGAGTAGGAGACAGCCAGGTAGGCTGGCGAGCCTGCCCTGGAACCCCACTCCCGGCCCTCGGTTCAGCTAGGCGGCTGACAGCGCTCGCGGGCCGGAGGGCGGGGGCGGACAGACTACAAATCCCGGCATGCTCCACGGCGGGCGGGCCGCTGCACCTGCTCAGTGGGGCCGCCCCGGGCGCCTGGGTATTGATTATTCCATTGTGTGGGACGCCTCGGCTCCAGCCAGTGAATGAGGCGGAGGAGTGAGGGCGAGGAGGAGGAGGAGGGCGAGGAGGAGGAGGAGGAGGTGGAGGCAGGGAGCGAGCGAGTGCCCTGGGTGAATCAATGGAAACCCCCTCACGAAGCCGGGAAAACACTTCAGCCGCAGCCAAATAGCATTGATTATTTTCCTTCACTTCCCTCACCGCCTTGAATTTATTTATTTATTTTTTCCATCTCCTTCCCTGACGCCCCGGAGCGAGCGCTGGAGGGAGGGAGGAGGAGGGGGAAAAAAAGGAATCAACACATCGGAGAAGTCCCTTCCAAGAGCCGCCCCCTCCCCTCCCCGCCTCGCGCTGCTCGGCGGCCGCGGTTCGACTCCCGTCCCTGCTTCCAGCTGAGGTGTAAGTGCATCGATTTCCGATGCTGCTGGGTTGGTTTTTTTTTCTCCTCTCCCTCTCTCTCTTCTTCCCTTCCTTGCTCTTTGGAAGCTCGAGACGGAGGGGAGAGGAGGCGCTCGGAGACTGCCGCTGGAGGGGACGGAGAGGGACGGGAAGGGGCTGGGGGAGGGGAGACGGACAGACTGACGGACAGACAGACTGAGAACCCGGAGAGAAGGGGGGGAAGGGGTGTGGGAGGAAGAGGGCGTGCAAGCGGGGATGAGGGGGAGAGAGAGAGACGCAGGGGTGGAGGGAGAGACCGGGAAGGAAAGGCAGGGGCCCGCCGGACAGACGGAGGGTAACGAAAGCCTAGACGGACCGCGCGGAGCTGTGCAGGGAGCGGGGGTCCCGGAGGGAAGGGGAGGCCTGGTGAGTGCGAGAGCTCGGAGCTGTCAGCCTGGAGGGGCCTGGGTCTCGGCGGCCCCCCGCCGGCTGCGGGATGGGGGAAGAACTGCGGCCGGCTGGCTGACGGATGGGCTAGCGCGCTGGGGCGTGGGGTGGGAGGGGACGTGGATACCCTCAGTCTTCAGTCCTCGTTCGTTTTCCCCGAAGTTGAGCTTTTTTTTTTTTCTGTTTTTCTTTTTTGTGGAAAGGTGCGATAGGTGAGGGGAGACCACACAGCCCCCACTCAAGGTGAAGCTTGCCAGTCCTGACCCCCGCCCCCATCCGCTCGTCTGCCCCTTTTTTTGAGTAGCCCTATCATTTTCAAGCACTGGACCACGCTTCTCGCTGCGCCTGTAGCCCCCCTGGTCTCTGTCCATATGTCCCTGCCTCTTGGTTTTGCCATTCTTCATCTCGTCTCCCCACCTCATCCATCTCTTGGTGTGTGTGTCGCTGTCTCTGCTTATGACCCTTCCTATCCGAGTGATCCCCTCCCTGTGTGTCCCTGTCACTATGTGTCACGCCTTGGCTGCCCAACTGTTCTGCCCGTCTAGGACTCCATGTCCTCTCCTTCAGGGTCTGTCCGGATATCTGTGGCCTTTTCAGGCTACTTTGGAGTTCGCTTATCAGTTATGATTGTGGTGGTGGTCATGGTCACGGGCCTGGAGGAGTAGGGGGATGGAGCAGATGTGTCTCCCCTCAAAGACTCCGGTGCCCTTTCAGTGTGGCCAGGACAGCCTCCTCTTCCACCTTCACCAGGAAAGCTTTGGAACTTCCTAGCATTGTTGACTGTTCCCTTTGACATGTGCCTGTCTTCCCCATCAGAACATTACCTCCTGGTCTCCTGTGTATCATCTGCCTTTCCAGGAGCTTCCCATCGCAAAACCTCTTCCCGGCTGACTTAATTTTCCTCCCTTCCCCCACTTTACCATTGTATATTTTTTCATCTCCCCATTTTGTTTCACCCCCTTTTTTCCATCCCTGTTTCCCATGATCGCTCTTGCTTATTCTCCACCTTTGTTCCCATAATCTGCCCTCTTCCTACCTTTTCCCCTTGGTCACCCTGAGTTTCTTTTACCCCATATCCTCTTACCCAGCATTTCAACCCCAGCAGCAGAAGGTACCAGCAAGCAAGGGGCTGAGAGAGGTGGGGGTTATAGTTTGTGAAGGCACATAAACAGGCCAAGAAATCAATTTAATGGGCTTCCAGGGGCTTATAACCCCTTCATCAATCAGTGCCATTATGTCAGTTAACCGTCAACTTTGATTTTGTAAGGGGACATTCTCTAGGACTCTAAGCTCCACCCTGCCTGGTTGGCCCCATCCTTCAGTTCATTCTAGATATCTGGCTTTTTCTTCACTTTTTAGTTCATCTTCTTCCTGGGCCCCTGCTATTATCATATTTGGATTCAGCGCCATTCTGTACAAGGCAGTTTTTATTAGTGTGATAGAAGCTGTCTTAGCAAGGGGCCAGGTTCATTCAGCCTAAAGAATAGTAAAGGTGGATAAAGGATCTGGAGAGTTTACCTTGGTTTTAAGCCCATCATTGTTTTTCCAGACCTCAGGAGCTTGGAAGGGTAAAAGGAGGAGGTAGATATGGGCAGAAGATGGAAGATTTCAGAGGCGAACAGAATTACAGAAAGGAAGGGGAGGCCGGTGCAATAAACACATGGGGTAGAGAAATGTATGACAGGAGGGACTTGCAAAGGAAGGGAGGAAAATCTATGCAGAATGGGGGGGGCAGGGGAGGAATCAAGGGGTGATTAATGGGAAATTGGGAAAATGAAATAAAGCGTGAGTTAATAGCTATATAGAAGAAAAGAGGAAGAGAAATGATAGAATATTTCTAAAGAGGAGGTCAACAGAAATAGCACTATGAAATGAATACAGTGGTAAAGTGGGGGAAGGGAGGAATTGATGAATAAGATGAGTTGGGAAAAGAGTATGGTACAAAGGAGGTAAATTGATGGCAAACGGAGGAGTGCTGAGGCAGATCAGAGCTGCACAGAGCTTGGTGGGGGAAGGAGGAGACGATGAGGTATCAAAGGAAACAAATGCCTCTGGTGTGAGGAGGACACAGCCACATTGTGACTGATGCAGGGAGGCAGCGGAAACGGGAAGGGATTGGGAAAAAAAGCATAGCAGAAATACCACTGGGTGAAGCCCTCAAAGAGAGAGAAAGCCCAGGGATATCTGGGGAAGAGAGAGGGAGAGAGAACCTTACAAACATTCATTCCATTGGCATAATCACTCACTATCCTACCAAAGGCTTTTGCATTTCATTCCCAAGCCAGAACACAAGCAAGGAGATGAAAAAGTAGAATTCCCATTTTACTTCAGCTGACAGGAACTTGAATCTTCCTTAGCCCCCTGAGAACCAAAAGACCTCAAGCCTCTGATGTCATAAATTGCTGGTGTTGCCTTGGCAACCTGACAGGGTTCCTCCCTCCATGATGTCAGAGGCAGCTGCTCTTACCTTGAGACCCATGCAGGAGCAACTTGCTGCTTTGCTGGGGGAGCTGTATCATGTTATGGGGCCGGGCCCCGAGTCAAATCTGTAGGATTCCTGGCTGTGGTAGTTTGACCTTGCCACCCTGGAGCTGTTCTCAGCTCAGAACAACAGTTGTCATAGAAAACTCTTCATTGTGAGTGGCTGAGGTTCGCTAGAGCCTGACAGGAGCAAGAGGAAGGGACCTAGGAAGACCGGGGCATAGAGATTGGGGCATAGACGTGGGGATCGGAAAACTGAAAGGCATGGAGAGAACTGGAAATGGCAGTTCCAGAACATGAAAGGAGAGGCTTTGTGAGCAGGGAGGAGAGCTGTTGAAAATGTAAGGTGAACCTAGCTTTGGATTTAGGAATGGAAGCTAGAGCTGGAAATGCAGAGCTGTGTGTGAGTGTAAAATGACAAAGGGATAGAGAAAAGAGAAGGGTTCTGAAATGCCACAGGGCACAGTGGATTTTGGCTGTAGAAGGGGGAAAAAGGGAGACACTGAGTGAGTCCCTTAGTCTAAGCTGTCTGGCGAGAGACTCAGGATTAGTCACGGTGGCCCTGGGAGTGGGGGGCCTGTATCTGTCTAGTTTCCAATTGTTTCCCAGCACCTAGCACCGTATCTGTCATACAGAAAAGCCTTAATAAATATCTATTGATCAAATGTTGAATTAATAGAAGCTAGGGAAAAGAGTTGTCCACCTAACTCTCATCACCTGCCCCCCACTGTGTGTATAAATGAGCAAATTGGGAAATCAGAAACTGTAGGGAATCATTGGACAGGAGTTAACCAATGACAGAGAGATCTGGGGCATAGAGAAGAGAGACTGAGTTAGGGGCACACTTGGAGGCAGCCAGGGTGACTATGAGGGCTGATGTGGGGAGTCTTTCTAGAGATAACTGGAGGATAACATGAATGAACAGTCCTAGGAGCCCAAGAGGAAGATGCGGAGGAGGGTAGAGAAAGGAGGCGGTTTCCAGAAAAGGTTGAGAGTTGTATCCAAAGAGAGTCAGCGAATTTGAATTGGAAGTAGCATGCTTACCCCATTCTCAATCATGAAACCACAACTGAATTGGTCATACCCATATATATACACAATGGCCACAAATAAAGAGTTCATAAATCAATACCAGAACCATTCTAAACACCTGTCCCAACCCAGGTAGTTACAAGGAAGTCAGCATTGGCCATGTGGGCCAAAAGGCAGAAGGAGGCAGAGGTTACTGCTGCCCAGACCTGGATGTAAAAGACCCTGTGAGGGATGGCCTTGACATTTGACTGCCCACTGTTGAAAGAGTCCAGAGGTATCTAGGAGAAGAGGGGGAGGCAAGACACGCAGAGCTCACCACAGCTCTTAGTGAAATCTGCAGAGACAGAGGTCTACATGCACAGACGCCATAGGGGAGAAAGAAGCACCCAGTCAGGGCTTATAGCCTGTTAATGTGAAGAGCACAAAAGCCCCTGAATGCGTTGAGAAATCTAGGAAAGATGGGAAGAGAGAACAGTGAGCTGGGAGCCCTGGGGGAGAGTCTGGCTGTAATAAAGGCCAGGGCAGCTGGAGAAGGGGCTGGCAGGCGGGCGGGGGCCTGAAGGGAGGACAGTGGTGGCTGTATGCATTGTCAGCCGCCACGGACTTGGGCAGCTCATATTTTGCAGTAGGCGACAGGCTGTCGACACGGCGGTCCTTTACCTCACCGTTAGAAACTCATTTCATTGATTTTTCCATCTTTCTTCTTGGGCTCCTCATACTAAGCTCAGTCCTCCCACCACCCACTTTCCTAGAGCCCCTTGCCTCTCTGGGGAAAGCCCCAGGGAACTGCCTTCCCATCCCTCCTCCATCCCAGGCTGGTGAGGCAGGGGTGACAGATTCAGAGGTGACTTCCAGCCCCCTGAGGTAATCCCAGTGGCTCTCAGTGGCCCACTCGTGAAGGAACTAGTCCAGAGACCAGGGCCCCCACATGCAGTTGTTTAGGGCGCCCCCGCCACCCATGCTCATCACCAAGCTATACCACTGGTGTGGGGGCTGCATACACCTGGAGGAAGATGTCTTTTTCTAATTACTACTGAGACAGTTCAGTACCCCTCAACATT